TGTTGAGCACAATCATGTAGTAGAGTGCTAGGAATATGTGTAGGCTGTCTACCTGACTAGGGCTCCCAGAGAACTTCATCCTAGGGTGAAAAGGGCTTAGGTGTAAAACACCTGGGACACTGTTCATGGGGCTTCCTTTTTACCAAACAGCACAAGCCTTCTCACACCTGCACACAGCAGGAAGAGCAGCTCCCTGGGCTGCTGCTCAATGTATTACCTTCCAGTTCTGACTCATCTTTCAAGACCTCTGTTTTCATGGACTGCAGAAGAACATTGGGGAAAAATCCTTTGGAAGCTAAAGCCAGTTTTTACTATTTTCCCATTGCCAACATGCTCAGCTTGCAAAGAGGGTTGACTACATGACTCACGTTCTAAATTCTTCTAAGAAAATTCTTGCCTCTGGCATCACATGCAACCATGCAGGACAAGCAGGTATTTTCCAGCTTGCTCTTCTAGACTTGAAAAGTCTCACAGTATTTGAGTTTACATCCCTGACTCCATCTCAAGATATGGTATTACATATCCAACAACCAGACCATAGAAAATTTGTAAGGAAGTAGGAAATTACACTGCGGTACCCTGATTCTTTCTTATGCTTCTGCCAAAAGTTTTTGGTACTGATTCTGCCACCTTTTATTTTATGTGCAGCTTAACTAGATAATGGTCTAGCTATTTGAAGGAATATTTCAAATTTCTCATTCTTTTATTCTTAAATTTCTTATTCTTAAATTCTTAAATTCTTAAATTTCTGATTCTTAAATTTCTCATTCCCAGTAAATACTCTGAAATTCATTTGAGCAGTGAATTTTGAAGTCAAGTTCTGTAAGTCTTCATCTATAAAAAGATACTTTAAAAACTCCATGAAAATACTTACAGTTTCTTTTATTCATGTGAATTACTTGAACCACTCAGATTCCCCAATAGTGAAAAGATAATTCCTTGCATCCATGCAAGACCTGTGTTAGAGAAGACAAACTTGCTGGCTTTGCATGCCGACCATGCTGTTTTTACAGTAACTTTGACTTCTTGTTGAAAAAGGGTGGAGGGTTCAAAAGAAACAGAGGAGTAGTGCCTGCTTAAGGAAGGAAGCTGCTACTATCCCTCCTACCTTTCCTCTGAACTTCCTGCAGCAATTGTCAGTCTGAATTGTGAAAATCTGTCCACTAAGAATGTCTTTCCCAGGCTTTGCTCTATTGACCAAGCACTCCCTTCAAAAACATGTCTGCTGGTCCACTTTTCCAGTTATTTTGCCTTAAAGGAAATATTCATATGGAAACAAGTCAAATTCACCTCTTCCAGTGAAGCAGAATACAAAGATCTCCTTTGATGTGGTATTAACCTCTGATATTAATACTGCCAGTATGTAGGGGACTGTTTTAAGTCAAGCAGAATTTCTAGGCTTGCCTTAACTCTACTTTCAAGTACCACTTTGGAACTCAAGAGTCATGATCAGAACAGGTCAGCAGCTCCTTTGCCTTCACACTCCAAACATCTGTCCTGGGTGCATCCTTAGTTTTGTAAAATCCTGAGAAGACCAGCTCAATGTAAAGACCATTTTTCATTAAGCTTATCAGAAGCAATGTACCACCAAGCTGCTCCATCCCAACCATCCCAACATTTATCTGCTTACAGAGCAAGGCTGAGCAGGAAACAGAGAATGGTCTACCAGCATGGAGTGGTCTACCAGCAGCAGAGTACCTTGGCTGCTCGAAGCTACTGCATGCCCTCAGCAAACACTAAAAAGGGCTCAGAAGTGTGACTCAGGCCTTCCAAGAGGAAAAGGGGAGCCTGGATGGGATCAAACAATACCATTAAGAAAAGATACTCTCAGGCCAGGAGATGGAAAAGGCAGAGAAGTGCATCTGGAAGAGGCATCACTGATAGGCAACATGTCAGTCTCAACTCCAAGCCACTCAATGGAAAGGCAGGGCCTGCATCCAGGGAAACTGGTTGCACATGGAGTTGGTGAGGTGGGCAGTGAGCCAGCAATTCTTAAAACTGCAAGAAATGTATACACGTGTAGAAGATACATTTGAAAGCAAGCATCTTGAAAACTGTTAAATACAGTCCCAGGATATTCAGCTTTTGAGGGGTTTTTCTGGCTTCCTTGTACCACATAAAATCCTTAGAAATTTAAAATTCAAACAAGCAGAGGTGAAGAACTTGCAATGTTCACTAACACTGTTGCTCCTAGTTGAAATCTTTAATAAAAAATACCATTATCTTTTTCTAAAAACAATGCTGTAGATACCTAAAAAGGGAGTACCTCAGCAAGGCTGCGTTATCTGAATGGCATATTCATCCATTTCAAGACTATTTTCACCATGCACTGATAAGAATGTCTAAATAAATATGTATTTGTACAATGAAAAAACCTGAGATGATTCTAGTAATTGCTAAATCACCAGGCATTAGAGATTTAGCCATTTTAATGTCATCACCTGCTATCAGACATCCTACGTTGCCATAGTATTTGTATTTAGGCAATCCTAGTTTTTTAGGGTCTGTTCCAGTTCCTTTTATAGTTGGGTAAGCACCCATATTTTTGGTGGGATACAATAATCAAGATTAGTGGGCTAAAGAAAAACAACATGCAAAGTCAAAGCTCACCCAGACATGCTTTGTTGTGCATGAGTGACCTTAATACCCTGTACATCCCCAGCTCTGGCCTGTGCATGGCAGGAAGCTGTCAGAGCTTTGTTTCGGGCAATCAGCAGCAGGAGCTGGCAGTGTAGGAGCAGCTTGCAGCAAAGCTATCTAAATGCTGGGGGAAGAAAGTCATTACAGATTATCTTTAAAGTACTTGAAAAATAAATTCGTACCTTTATCTCCATGATACAGGGTAAGCAATTTTCTACATATTAGCATAATAATCATCAAAGGAGTGCCTTCTTTCCCATCTTGCTTGTTTGTATCACTCCAGTATCTTGTAGTCTTGAGGATGCACATTTTTAGCTTGATTTTTCTGTCCTGTAGGTTTTGCTTTACACATTGCATATTAAAAACCCAGTCATTACTTCTTTCTCATGCACAAAATGTATCAGAGCTTTATCACTGCAAACTGCAGTTCCTAGCACCCACAGCAAAAGCAGCACCAGCCTACACCTCATCCCCTGAGTTGTTGGTGAACTCTCAATGGTGACACTGCAGGCCTTTGGCCTAACCTAAGCAGGAATGTGTGGACTAAATGCACCTAGCAGAAGTGTGTGTTTTTACAGAGCAGAATGCCTATCCATGCTAGTAAAGCAAAAAAAACCAAAACTACCTTTCTTTGACAATAGAAGGGATTAATTTTGGTGATTAAAAAATAGCTGGGGGGGGGTCTTCATTTTTCTCCCTTTTCTATTAATAAATATAAGCCCCAATCTTGGACCACAATAAATATTATAGAAACTTAATTATTATTAATAATTAATTTTTTCACTACTTAACTCCTGTTTAACTCTTTAAGCACTTACAGATGGCTAATTACTTAAGATGGATGTAGGTACTTTTAGTACACTGATATACAGACTGTCAAAGAAAGAAAAAAAATGCAAAAATCATTGATATGTTACAGTAAGACGGCTTTTAAGCATATGAACACATGATTAACCAGGGGAACAATTGTGCATAGGTCTTCCCCTTGAACAACTCTCTCTTCCTGCAAAGCTTTTTCAGATAAAGTCATGGTGTATGTTATTCTAAACTGTGGGGAAGAACAAAACAAAACAATAAAACAACCTGTCCTTTGAACATTCTTATTTCAATTTGGTCCTATTCTGCAGTACTCCTCTAGCTTGACAGGATTTTAAATCCTCTCCATTTCAGGTGTTCTCATAACCCCTCCGCTATAAGGGAGCTCAGCAGCAGGTTTAGCAGCTCAGTACCCCAAAACCACTCTGAAGAGCTTGTGGCCTAAGAAAAAAAAGTGCTCCAGTGCAGAGAAGTATTTATCCCAGACAAAGTTAGTCACATCTCTTGTTCCCACATCCAAATTTCATTGAATTGTCTTATGTTGCGCTCTTCTGTTTGTTGCAAACACATGGGAAACACCCAATGTCTTTAGCACAGCTCTCCTCCAAGATAAGACATCACCTTGACTTCAACATTCTAATGAAGAACTTGCAAAGAATTGACAGTGCCATTTAAAACCATCTTGCTTTCAGAACGGACAGTGTTCATTTAATAATCTTGGCAAAAGTAAGGTAAAACAAGTTTCAGATTTGTGTCCTAAATCTGCTGCCAACTTTGGAAATTCATGTACTAGTTTTAGAGAAATCAGGCATCTGAGTAAAAAGGTAGAAGTAAAACCTCTCAAGAATACCACACCTGCAATTCTCAAAACTGGAATTATATTTTTGTTATGAACAAAACTGATGCACATGAAACACATGAGCAGCTGACACCTTCACCTGCACAGCCCGAGGAGCTTCCAAACCCACAGAGCTTTGCAATACAGATGAGACACCTAAGCAGTTACTTTAATAAATAATAGGGTTGGACATGGGACTATAAACACCAAATAAAGCTCTCCCTTTGATCCTTATAAAATTAGATATAAAATTAAATATCCCAGAAGTGTATGACAAAACCACTACAAAACTGAACTTCAAAGATAGGTCTTTTCTCCAATTATCAAAAAAACTAACTTGAGCTAAACTTAGTAACTTTTATGCAGGATGAGTAACTCTACTGTGTGTTGACAGTCCCATAACCTTGTTACTTTAATAGCTGAGCTAAATTTACATTTAGCAAATTTCCCACTTCCTTCAAAAAAAGAGGAAGAAAGTGGTAGGGACTTAGCAACAGATGTATTATAAACATAGTACTACAAAAACCACCCTGTATTTGCAGCCTGGTGTCCCTCAGCTAAGTCACTGATGAGTAAGTTTTAAAGTTGTCTTCACATTTTTAATAAATCTAATAGCTTTCAAATAATAATAATAACAACTACTCTAAAAATGTTTTGCCTTACACTTACAGAAATTTTGTAGGAAATAATGTCCAAAGAGATCTGGCTTCATTGCAGTATTAATTTAATAACTAATGTGCATTATTCACATTGATATTCAAACACATGTGATATTAGTCCAACATGCAGCTGCTTAGAAAGATGCATTTATGCACCTTACACCACTCTGACCCACCAATGTTAGAAGATCTGTTGATCTAGTATGTTCTCCTTCAAGGGAAGGCAGGGATTTTTTGGCCATCTCTCAGATTTTGTTGCATAGGAAAAAGCCTTCTGTGCAGCCTGCTGTTTCTAACACATGTAGATGCAAACACAGTTGTTTTTCCATTCTTCAGGGATTCTTCCTCTTGCTTTTCTGTTCTTCCTTAAGGTCTTTTGCATTGCATCTGGACGCCAATGCTGTTAACATTTCCCCTGTCGTCAAGTGGGCTCCCTTCATTATCAGTCGATCTCCATCAGCTATAAATGAAGAAAACCTTAAGAAGTCACAAAGTGATAACTACTCTGGTGTGCAGTTATTTTGTATATATAAATCCAAATACCCAGTTCGCTTTGTCTGCACATTTGATAAGGATGGTTCACACTATGCCCCAGAAGTCTCCTCACAAAAGGCAAACAGGGCATTGGAAGGCACAATTTCCACACATGGTTAAGCATTTTAGTAGCCTGTTGTCTGTGGTCCATTTAACGTACTTCTTCAGCCAAGACAACAAATTGGTTCACACAATCCTGTGGTTATAATGTAAAAAGATTAGAAAGTACTAGGATTTCCAGAATTCTGAAAGAATTTATTTTAAAACAGGCAGGGAGCAGAAGTTGAGTATTACCCAAGTAAATTATTTTGCAAGATTTGCAAATACAGAACCAAAACCCAAAGCCGTATAGTGAAATACCATGCCTAGTGTCCACATTTCAGCCTCATCTTTGCCAACTACAAGGGCTACAAACTCTTCACTGGAGAAAAATCAGCTCTTAAAAAATAGAGTTTAGAGGTGTCTTTGCATTAATGAGATAAACTTGTTTGGGTTTACACTGTGAAAAAACATAGAGCTTTACTGCTTTAGTCTTAATACATCACAAGGATGGGAAAGACAGAGGCATGGGGGAGAGCGAGAGAGACAAGCAATGTTAACATTGAAATAGGTAGACTTTCCTAAGCAAACCAAAGACCAATCAATACTTCTGACATTTCCACCAATTCACTAAAAATATGGAAGTTTAAAGATAAGAGAGTAGCAGAAATCAGTATTAGTGAAAACTTTAATGGGCTACATGACATATTGGTCTATTACAGCACAGCAGGAAAGAAGATGCAGCCAGAGAAAAGGACAAAAGCAGATTAGAGCCATCTGTTCATAACCTAGAATCTGGGATGGTTCCAGAACTGATGAAATTTCCACCAGCAATTCTTTGCCCGCTCACTATACCCTCAAAGGAAACCAGGATATTTGTTGTACGTAGTTGACCTCATTCTGCAGGTCCATCTGCACATGTATAGCCCTCACCCATGTGGGCAGTTCCTTCAAATTACTCAGTTACATAAACAACTAAAGGTATTCAACCTTCTGCTCTCAAGACCGAGATGCCTCCATCACAGGTAACAAAAAATTACAGAAAGCAAACAGATTATTATATAAAAACAGAGCTACATTTACTTTCCTGGAATTGTACCTGACTGCAAGTACATCACTACTTTTAAAATTATACTCAGCTCCAATGTTGTCAGTTGTTGGATCTAAGATCCCTTAGATCTAACAGTAGAGACATATATACACATTTATCTAGACATCAGGCTGTTTGTGACACCCTCTTTCTTTTTTCCTCCCATCTGCACAACAGCTAGTTATGGAGCCCAAAAAAAAATCACAGTTTAAAAAAAAATAAAATATAGAATACAATAACATTGCAACAACACAAACCAGAGTGGTTTTTTGTTTGTTTAAAAACAAGCTTCTTACCAAACTTAACATCTATAACTGGTTCAGATCCATCATGTCTCACATCAGCAGTCACTTCACAGTTTGTATTAGTAGCTTGGATTTTTTTATGGTAAATAGATTGAAGAAATTTTCTGAAAATATATAAAAAATATATTAAGTATGTTGTAGATAGAAATTAAAGTAAGCATATTTCTAAAACAAATTTGCATATGTCAATACTCCTGGGCAAAGTGTAAACAAAATAGGATTTGTACTTCAGTTCAGACTTCTTATGTGAGAATCACTCTTAAAAGTCCAAATGGATATTCCTTATATACTAACATGTAAAAAGCATACCAAAGAACTTTTTAAAACTTCAGTGTTTTAGCTAAGGGAAACACTTTCTGTGTTTCCCTTAGTTAGATTAGTAACAATAATTTAAAAATAAACAGCAAACGCATTTTCATTTTTCTTGCCAATCATCTGCTTGCCAATGTTTACTTGTTTGGGTTTGAGACAGCATTTATTTATACGACATCTTTGGTCTCCTGTAGAGTTCTGAAATGTATGACAGCTACTTTAAGCCGCTAATTCTGGCAATTTAAAGATATTCTGAATTAAGCTGTGCTACTAAATTAATTTTTAAAGGAGGTGTGCCTGTAAAGTCATTGCAAAACGGCATTTTGGAATTGTTTGGTGCAGAACCTACCCTTAAATCTCTCCAACAATTCATTACCGGGATTGAGGAGTGCCCCGCTTCCCCGTTACCAGCGCCTGGAGTGGTTCCATGGCCTCACGACAGCATCAGCCACCGCGGGGAAACCCGCTGGGCGCTCTGCTAAAGCTCGGCGCACACGCCTGGAAAGAGGGTCCAGGGCTGGGCACAGGCCCTGGGGATAGCAGCACGGAAGGAGCCCTGGCTGCCAAAAGCCCAGCCCTAGCGCCCGCCGGGAGACGCGCGGAACCCGCGCAGAAGCCGCCAGCCGGGAGGCCGCAGGAAGGGCGCACGGAGGGCGCTGGGACGCCTACAGACAAGGAGCCCGGACAGAGCGGGCAGGGGCCAGGGCCGCTCCCGCAGCCCCCTCACCTGGTGCTCTCCACGTTGGGCTCGAAGGGGCAGAACCGGACCACGATACTCTTCACCGGCCGCAGCACCAGGCTCACCTTGGGCGCCATGTTGTTCCCGTCCCCTACTACAGATCCCAGTAGCCCCCGCGCAGGGGCGGGAGGTGGCGGCGGCGGCGGCCTGCCCCGCGGGCACCTGGGAACTGTAGTCCGTATCGCGGCCGACAGGGCGGGAGGCCTGTGGGTGCGATCCCGTCTCTGGGAGGCTGCCGGCCCCAGGAGCCTCATTTAATGACCCGAGGCGTTCGGGGCCAGGCTCCTTCCTGGCTGTGGAGGGACAGGGGCCAGCCTGCCTGTGTCAGAGAATCATAGACTGGTTTGGGTTGGAAGGGAGTTTGAATTTCATGTCGTTCCCACCGCCCTCCCTATGCAGGGGCACCTTTCACTAGACCAAGCTGCTCAAAGTTCCATCCAACCGGCCCTTGAACACCTCCAAGCATGAAGCATCCAAAATTTTTCTGGACAACCTGTTCCAGTGCTTCACCACCCTTGCAGCAAAGAATTTCTTCCTAATAATCTAATCTGAATTTATTCCCTGACAGTTTGAAGCTTTTCCCCCTTGTCCTGTCACTACCTGCTCTTGTAAAAAGTCCTTCTGCTTTCTTGTAGGCTTGCTGGAAGGCAAAAACAAGGTGTCCCCCAGAGACTTATCTCCTCCAGGCTGAACAGCCATGACTCTCTCAGCCTTTCCTTGTAGGAGGGGTGCTCCATCCCTCTGATCATATTCGTGGTCCTCCTCTGGACCTGCTCCAACTGGTCCATGTCCCTCGTGTACTGAGGAGCCCAGAGCTGGATGCAGCAGTCCAGGTAGGTTTTCACAAGAGAGGAGCAGAGGGAAGAGATAAAGATCAGTGAGGGGCTGCCAATACAGCTAAAGATAAATTAGAAGCAATATTTTGCAATACATCAAGGAGGAGAGAGATTTGCAAGAGGCACTGCTGCTAGAAGTGAACACATTTGGGTTTTCGTTCATGACTGGTTATGTCCAGGAGCTGCTTCCCAGCCTTTCAATTAAGCCTGGGGAAGAGGAGGCTCAGGGGGCACCTGATCACTCTCTACAACTCCCTGAAAGAAGGGTGTAGCCAGGTGAGGATTGGCTTCTTCTCACTGGCAACTAGCGACAGGGCAAGAGGACATAGTCTTAAACTGCACCAGGGAAGGTCCAGGTTGGGCATTAGGAAGAAATTCTTCGGGAAATGGAATTGGAACGGGCTGCTCAGGTAAGTGGAGGAGTTACTATCCTGTTTGAGGGAATCCGGGATCTGCCACTTGGTGCTGTGTTGTAGGTGACAAGGTGGTGTTTGGCCACAGATTGGATTTACATGATATACCTCAGAGGTCTTGTCCAGCGTGATTCTGTGGCTCTGTCTGGGTGTCGCCGTGTGTCCTGGTGCCACTAGATGGCACACACCTCCCTGGCAAAGGGCCCCCAGCGCCGGGACCTTGGGCAGGACGGCAGCCACGGTGTTCAAGCGCACGTTGGGAATTTCTGTGCAATATTCCATACAGACCCACGATCCCGACCTACGGGAACTGCATTTAATATCTGTCAACTCCTGGAATGGGTAACTTATTTTTAGAAACCTATCTTCGTTTATTCCAAGTCCTTTTCCTTAAAAAACTCACATAGTGATTCAGAAAAGTGATTGTCTTCAGTGAGATTTGGACAAGAAATTAAGCAACAAAACTAAGCACAATGGAGTCAATATAGTCAATATAGATGTTTAAATCTTCATTCTCTCTGTCAAGAGAATATAAATATAAAAATAAACAAACAAATAAATAAATAAATAATTTTCCCTTATGGTAAAGAAATGCAAAAAATACATTACTGTGAGATATCTTTTAACAGACTTTGCTGTAACCAATAAATAGCTGGTTTAAATAGGAATTTTTCCGATATAGTAGGCTTAGACAGAAGGCCAGGTAGAGTATTTTGCATTTGGCAGGCAAAAGTAACTTATGAAATTTCAACATCTCTTTCTTTGTTGTATCACAAAGAGCTCAATGTATTCCATTTAAAAATCTGTGGTAAAATTTCCATCAGCTTCTATGGTAATACTGAAGGATTAACACGATTAAAGGACAGGAAGAAAGAATGATCACTGATTTTTCTAAGGGCTCCATTCTTCATACTGTTGGTACTGTGGCACTCACTGACTTAAAAATATGATCCAAACACTTTTATATTTCCTCTTATTGCATTTTGATAGTAATTTAAGAAGAATGTTTAGCTCACATTGCACAATTAACGGAGAGAAAATTTTGTTTATTCCTTTCCACACTCAGATCAGTTAATTTTTTTACTTTTATTGTCAGCAGTAAAATTTGCATCTTTCCCCTTAAGCCATCTGTTCGGAGTAATTGAAAACTAACTGATATTTCAAAGTAATTTTTAATTTTTTGAAGTCTGAGGGATTTGCAGTAACACCATACAACAGGTATCTGTTAACTGAAAGGCTCCCTGTTCTATTTCTGCTTTTAAAGAATAGTCTGTACCTGTGATATGAAATTCATATTCATCCCTACAAATAGGAATATCTTTTCTTTGGATGCTATCCCTACTTGTGAACAGCCAAGTCTTTCTGAACATTTACTTTAAATGCAATAGTTGTAGGTGATGATAATTCTGGTGAGAATGTGAACTTTGACAGCTACTAAATTAGATAAGCAACAAAGTGACACAGCTATTAAAAAAAAACCAAACACGCCCCCCCACCACCACCAAACAAACAAAATCCAAACAAAAAACCAACCAAACCCAAGCATTTTCTCATCTGCCTTTAAAACCAGGTGGTGGTTAAGTGCAGTACATTGGACTACCTTCAGTTCATACCAGAATAACTCCAACTGATCTCTGCCATTTCAGAAAAACTGATAATTTATCCATGTAAGACCTTGAATCAGTTTCTCCAGCTCCAGCAGGTAATCTGGGAACTCTCAAGTGTCTGTATTTGAGACTGTTCTTCAAGGACATCCTTGGAGTCTGAATGATTCATGATTCTTATACCTAGTGATAATCATAGGCATTCCCAAAGCATAGTAACATGAAGAAGCATCAAAAGATGTATTATTCTAATGGAACCAATTTTAGCATTCCTTTCACTAGGAGGATCTTTTTTATTATAAATACTGCCTCATGCCAAGTCTACAGAGTTTCATGTCATCAGTTTCACTGAAGTGTAGCCGCAAGCCCACAGATGATTTATATCTAAGTAACATATACAGCCAGGAAATCTGCAGCCAGGAAAAACTGCACCCATGCTTTTTACACTGTAGTTATGCAGAGAAAAGTTGCAGAAAAAAGTCTGTAGTATTAATTATACTAGGTAAATTTTCCTCTTTTCTCATTGATCATTCCAAATCTTTTAGATCCTGGGGAGATTCTTCTGCTTTTCCTCCTGTTTCTTAATTAGCTGCTTTCATTTTCTGTTCTGTTTTCTGACTGTAGAAAGGCACACAGTTTGTTACTCTTGAATCTAATTTCTCCATGGTTTGGGCATGCCTGTTTTTAGCACCTTAGCTCTGGCTTCTGATTGCTTTTCAAACGCTGCATAAGAGAGGCTTCTCAATGCTGTATTTCTGGTGTGGTGTAACACCTCTGCGTGTTTATTTGGTTCTGGAGACTTGGATCATTATCTCTGACTGTCCTCAAGTTGATTGCCCCCTTTGCATCTTTATCCTTTTTCTGCTGAGCCTTTCTCTGAGCCTTGTCACAAACTTCAATAGGCCTGGAATTTAGCAATCAAAATGTCATGTCTGCACATCTAGTTATAATGCTGTGTAGTCCAGAAATAAAATTTAATGCTGCCCTCAGGGCAGTAGGCAGTGCTGAGGAGAAGTGAACCAACACAAAGCCAGCAGCCCGCCTGTTCTGCACTGAGGTGATGCTTCCAGATGACCACCCAGAAGAGACTCTTTGAGAAAGACTGTGTGCTGGACCTGACAGGAGAAGCAATTTATTTCTGGAAACAGAAAAACACTCTGACAGGCACGATATCATGGAGTGTATCTTCAAAAGAGCACTGGACAGAGACAGTCAAGATCACAAAGGACTTGCAGCAAGTCATTATAAAATACTAGCACCACATTGAGGGACATGTTGGAATGAATTCCCTACCATACTGGAGGAACACTGCTTATAGTCATAAAAATATAAACCAGTCTGTGTTTTCTGTCTGGCTTTGTTTCTTCCTTTGAACTGAATATTTTACACCATATGTCAGTTACTGAATTTTAAAAATATTTTCCCAAAGAGAAGAGCTGGTAAAGGTCCTTTATTCTCTGAAAATTGTGGAAGTCAAGCATAGTTTTCTACTAATAGTACAACAAATTTTGCATTTTATTTGTAAGCCAACTAATAGTTGTATGCTGTTTATGTGGTTTTCAAAAATAAAAACAAAAAATAAAATCAACCAGCAAAGGTGCCACTTACAATGAGCCTGCTTTATAATTAATTCTGAAATAATAACTCTGCGTATCAGTTCAGAAAAGCTCTTATGGGAGTGAATAAACAGATTCCCTAGTTGCTCTTTATTCCTCTGCAAACATGTATTTCTATTGCCTGAGGTTAACAACTGCCAGCAGAAATGTTTGCTAAAATAACATGCAGCATTTAACTGGCTGAGAACATACTGTGCCAATTCCTGACTTGTAACTTAATTTCTTGAGGATATTACAAAAAACCTTTAGTTGGTACATTTTCTTCCACATCTAATAAATACTATATTAAATATCTGCAGTTATCCTTTGGATTTTTATGTTGATTTAAAATATGCACTTGCTTCCAGCAAAGGAAGTTCATTATCATAATAGCAAAAGGCACAAAGGTGAGCTGAAATGAATGGTAACAACTCAAGATTAGCACCTGAGTCCTTGAGGTCTGGGATCCGTTCTTGAAGCTCCAGGTAGATTTAATGTGTGTATTTTTACTTTAAGGGTCCTTGCACGCGGTGGCTCACAGGTCACAGGCACAGTCCCATTTGACAGATCTGACTCAGAGTTATTATCATGGTTTGAGGGGGAACAGATTTTTCACAAGTGCAGAATTTGGGGAAAGCTGTTGCATTAGAATTTGATCTATATTTTCAA